GGGAACGTTGGCTTCCTCCGTCACTGAAGCAAGCAAGCCTCATGTTCGCTTCAAGCTGCCTGGCTGTCGGCCGCCATCTTGGCTGGCAGTTAATTTGCATATCGCCCTGATTAGCCAATGGGAAGGGTAGCGGAGGTACGGCTAATTACCATGTTTCTCTTTTATTAGATAGGATTATTGTTACATGAGTATATAACATATATAAGTTTAATGGAAGTTAATTAAAATTTATAATTTTTCCAACTTCATTTTGGATAATTGGATGTCTATTAATCATTAAATCAATACGACATTTGCTATAGCCAGAGCAGTGCTTTAGGCTGAGGAATACGTGTGAATTACTATATTAGGCCTGGAATCTACAGGTCTTTGGACTTTATTTAGATAAGCAGGAGCTACTGTCTACATGGCTACTCTATGCTAAGCATTATTCTAAGCACTTTTCATTAATTATATCTCTATTTATGCATTCCTATCAGGTAAGCTTTTTGTTTGCTTGCTTTGTTTTTACCTTTTTATAGCTGAGAAAAATGAGGTTTACATGTTAACCAATATGTTTAAGAAGCTGTGGCAGGTCTTTCTGGATCTAAAACCTGTACTCTTTCCATAATGTCATTGTATACAGTGACTAGGATATAGGGAGGACAAGAAATATGCATGAACTCAAGATAATTTTGCCTATAAAGTTCATGGATTGAATATAGAGGATGAAGGAGTGAGAGGCATCAACAAAGACTGTTAGATTTCTGTCTTAAGCAGCTTTGGTGAATAAAAGTGCTATTTAATGTGATAGGAAAGGCAAGAGGTCTGAGGACACACAAAGATGAAAATGTTGGAAGAGCCATTGGCTATAAATGTGTAAGCCAGGAAAACAGAAGAGGAGTGTATAATATTATAGATATGATTAAGTTCATGGAAATGGATAAAATCACCTGAGAAAGAATATAGAGTTCATAAGAGAAAGAAGTCCAAGATCAATCCTTGGAAAAATCTACATTCAGGTAGAAAAGGAAGAGTGAACAGAGAGGAGGAAAATAAGCAGAATATGGTATCATAGAAGCCAAGAAATAGTTTTTCCTGAAAGTGGGAGTAGTCAACAATGTTAAGTGCTACTTGGAGGTCCAGTTTTATAAAAAATTTTGAAAAATTGGAAAACTTCCAATTTCCAGTCCAGTATGTAAATAATTTAGAAGTCACCACTCTGTCCTAACAACAAGTAAAAACCTGAACAAACTGAAAAATCAACAACTCACTTTTTGATCCATCAAATAAGGTCACAGGGCATACTGCTGCACCAAAACTTGGAAAGACAGACAGGTGGATACAGAGATTCACAACTTACTGGTGCAAAAACACATGAACAGAAACCTCCTTGAGAACCAGTGCTGGGGTAGGAAAAACAAAAACATGATTGATAAATTACTGGAAGTTCAGTGTGGACAACTCTGAAAATTAAAAACTTAATACATTGAGGGCCAGTAGTTTTATTGCTAGCTTTACCCAGCGGCCAGATAAATTTCTATTGAAGGAGTACCGAAAACGTTTTACATAAACATTAAAGGCACACTTTAAAATTAAATACCCATTGCATTTTGAAGTTATTTATTACATATTCTTACAAGCTAATATATTTTTTGAAGTATGATACTCTGTAAAACACTGTAATATGAAGCTAGAATTCTCGTGATCCATCCACAATGTATTAAGGGGGCTGGGCCGGTGTGGGTCAGTGTTTGAGTGTTGACCTAGGAACCAAGAGGTCATGGTTTGATTCCTGGTCAGTACACATGCCTGGGTTATGGGCTCAATCGATTGCAGGAGGCAGCCGATCAATGATTCTCTCTCATCATTGATATTTCTATCTCTCCCTCCCTCTCCCTCCCTCTCTGAAATCAATAAAAATATATTAAAGAATATATGTCTGTGACTAATAAGCCTTTGAAATCAATGAGATTTACTCACGTACTCTGCTGGATACTGTGCCAAGGATAGAACCAAGGGCTAGGTTATAAGTTTGCATCTTCAGACATCCGCATTTCTGTGATTGGCACCAATAATGTTACCATTTCTTTAGCTGAGACATCAGAAACATTTTTAACTCTTTCTTCCCCTAATTCTTTCCATAATCAGTTGCCACATTCTCTTCACTCTTCCTCTGAAATAGCTATCTCATCTGTCCATTCCTTCTCCTGTCATTCCTCCAGGTTTGGACTATTGCAGTATCTACCTCACTGGTCTCCTTGCCTTGCATGTCATCTTTCTGATCTATCTCACTCATTAGTGGTCCTCATGGTCCTCATCTTCAGTTTAGAAATCTTTATTGCCCTTACTATCTAATTAATGAATTCCGAATTCCTTACCCTTAGGTTCTTAACTTTTATAGAGTGGTCCCAATCTACCTTTCTGACTTTATAACCCACTTCACTATTTCATGAATGGAAACAGTCCATAATTTTCAAATTTTTTGTCTTTATTAATGCTTTTCCTTATCCCAACTCCGAGCCCTCCTTTCAGTTTTACTCACCCATTAACAACCAACATAAATGCTGTCACTCTCGGGAAATTAGAACTGAAAGTTCGGCTGGAAATATATTTTATTTTTAAATTTGCACTGTTTATTATAAATACCACTCACCACTTAGTTTCTAATATGTACTGATTTATACTGCTATCTTCACACACACACACACACACACACACACACACACACACACACTCCCACACTGTTTAGCAGTCATTTATTCAATAAATATTGCTACACGTAGTGCAATGCTCTGGTCACTCAGATTTGTGAGAAGGTTGAGACATTCTTAATAAAACAGCAACAATGTAAGGCAATAAATAATTCACTGAGAAAATGTAATATAGCCCTGCTGGTGTGGCTCAGTGGTTGAGCATGGACCTATGAACCAGGAGTTCACGGTTCAATTCCCTGTCAGGGCACATGCCAGGTTGCAGGCTTGATCCCCTGTAGGGAGCATGCAGGAGGCACCAATCGATGATGAATCAATGATGTTTCTCTCTCATCAATGTTTCTATCTCTATCCCTCTCCCTTCTCTCTCTCTCAAATCAATAAAAACATATTTTAAAAAAACTTAAGGAGGAACCAGTCATTAGGTGCCCTTCACACTTTTGTGAGTTGTACCTCCCAGAGCTTAACAATGAGAGAGAAACATCAATGATGAGAGAGAATCATTGATTGGCTGTCTTCTGCATGTCTCCCACTGGGGATCGAGCCCACAACCTGGGTATGTGCCCTGACCGGGAATCTAACCATGATCTCCTGGTTCATAGGTCGACACTCAATCACTGAGCCATGCAGTTAGGCTATTCTGTTTTTCTTAACAGAGCCTGCCCTCAGGAGAAAGTATTTCACTAGAGCCTAAGTTGCTAGGGTATCATCAGAGCCTAACCCTTCTAGGAGAAGGAAAATAACCAGTTCTATCCTCCCAAGTGGGGGAAGGAAAATACTCAACTCTAGCTCCCTCTAGCCTTCCACATTGGGAAAAAGGAAATACATAACTTCAGTCTCCTCTAGCCATGCTGTCCCACTTAAGGGGAGAAAAAACAGACACACTGGTGAAGTTCACAGTCAAGGGGTACAAGCTAGACAAAAAACTAAGACCTAATCGCAAAACTATAGACTGCTTCCTGGCCCCCCAAATCTTACACTACTAAAGGCCTATTCACCACAGTTCCTATTACCCAGTACATCATGCCCACTTTTTAGCAAATAATTACAAGGCATGCTAAAGGTAAAAAAACAAACAAACATAAAACCCACACAGTTTGAAGAGACTGGACAACATCAGATCCAGAGTTATCAGTAATGTTAGAATTATCAGAAAATAAATTTAAAATAAATATGATTATTATACTAAGGGCATTGTAGAAAAAAGTAACCAACATCCAAGAACAGATAGATGGATAGTATGAGCAGAGAGATGGAAATTCTAGGAAAGAATCAAAAAAATAAATTATAGAGATCAAAAACAAAAAAGAAGAAATTCTAGATATTAAAAACATTATAGCAGCAATGAAGAATGCCTTTGATGGACTCATTAATGGATTAAACACAGCTGAGGAAAGAATATTTGAGTTTTAGGAAAGAGAAAAGGATAAGAAAGTAATTATAAAGAGAATGGGATAAAAAAAGTACTTATGATGGATGGTGGTAGAAAAGGAAGGAATATGACAGGAGAAGGATCGTGGATGATGATTATTGCATAATGAAGACATATTTAATGTTTTCTCTAAGACTTAGTTTTAAATATTGAGCCATAGATAGATCTAATTATCATTTGTTTTCTTTTAACAGAACACTTTTTGGGAGATGTTGCCTTAAATGTGGTAGGGAAATTTTTTGAGCTGAGTATATTGAAAACCATTTTGTTTTGCAACATATTTTTTCCTTAAATATTGTATAGAAAATCATACTTAAAATTTTTTTTTATTGATTTCAGAAAAGAAGGGAGAGGAAGATAGAAACATCAATAATGTGAGAGAATCATTGATCAGCTGCCTCCTGCACGCCCCTTACTGGGGATGGAGTCCTCAAACCAGGCATGTGCCCTGCCTGGGAATCGAACCGTGACCTCCTGATTCATAGGTCAATGCTCAACCACTAAACCACACCAGCCAGGCTAGAAAATCTTAAATTTAAAAAAAAGATTTTGTTTAAAACTTTTTTCAAATTGAGAGGATAGATAATAGGATAATATATATCTTAATTGTAACAATTATAACATATACTAGAGGCCCGCACCCTCTCGCAATCTGGGACCCCTCGGGGATGTCTGGCAGTCCCGCTGTGGGATCGGGCCTAAACTGACAGTCGGACATCCCTCTTGCAATCCAGGACTGCTGGCTCCTAACCCCTCTCCTGCCTTCCTGCCTGATCGCCCCTAACCATTCGCCTGCCTGCCTGATCACCCCTAACTGCTCTCCTGCCTGCCTGATTGCCCCTAACCACTGCGGCTTCGTCCGGAAGGATGTCCAGAAGGCCATTTGGCTTTCCAGTCTAATTAGCATATTACACTTTTATTATTATAGCTTACAACAAAAATAAGACATCTGAGAAGTGCTACACATTTTTTATAGCCTGTGGATGGTATTTCATGATTATGAATTTGTTTCAGCCTGGAAAAGATCCTGAACCTAGAGACACAAATTTTCAAACAAAGTTAAGCTCTCTTCTAAAAATCAAGGTTCCATCATCTCAACAGAGGTCTGTTCTTGAAAGCAATGCAGGTGGTAAATCAGTTACCAAAGTTCTGCTGTCTCAGCCGCTGGAACCTGCATTGGTAAGCACTAGTCTTTTACTATTTCCTGAAAAAACTATGAAAAGAAAATGTACTTATTGGGATTTAGATATGCATAATTTCTTAACAAATCTAGGGGGAAATGCAGAGGTGCTATACTTACAGCTGTATACAGGTAAATGTTTTGTAATTGGACTGATAGTTGACAATTATGTCACTTGGTACAAAAGTATTCAGACAGAATTAAGAGTTCATATGGTGTGTTGGAGCAGGTAATACATGAGAAATGAAAGCAGCGAGGAAGCAGGATTGGGCAGGAGTAGCCTCAGTCTCTTTTTTAATGCCAGAATTTCATGGTTTTATTAACACAAATACAATGTGCACACAATCTGTCTATTCATTTTCTTCACTGCACAGTCTGGCATTAGATTGGTGACTCTGATGGCCAGCTGGGCTGCTCTCCACAGTAGCTTTGCGGTTCTTAGAGTAGATGCTGTGAGCAGTCTCAGCACAGTGAGATTTGTTGCACATCAGCAGCACTTCAAGCTCCTTGATGTGGTGGACCAGGAAGCCACTTGGCAGCATGTACTTTGTTTTCTTGTTGCTCCCATAACCACGGGCATCAAGATCGGGCCCTTGAATCTTCTCTGCACCCTATTGTCAATGCATCTAGTTTTCCATCAATTACGCTTAATTTTGACATATCGGTATGACTGGTGCTGGATGAACTTCTTGGTCCTCTTTTTGGTGGTCTTGGTTTTCACAGGGGCCTAAGGGCAGCCATGGTGCTGAGTAGGAGATGGCTGCCACTTCCGTAGGCAGTACTGAGGAAGAGAACCCCAATCTTCACTGCAGATCTGATAGAAGCTCTCCCAGTGGGGAGGTCTGGAGCAAAGATTGCCGTTATAGGAATCTTATGTTGGGCTTTTGTGCTCAGACGTTGGCTGAGGTTTGCCTGAAAAGATAATGGCCTCAGCCCGAAAACTGAAGCAGATCCTAAATATGCTGTCGCTGGGGACTAAGAGCTAGCTGCACTCCTTGCAGTGGACTGAGAGCTAGCTGCACCCCTTGCAGTGGACTGAGAGCTAGCTGCACCCCTTGCAGTGGACTGAGAGCTAGCTGCACCCCTTGCAGTGGACTGAGAGCTAGCTGCACCCCTTGCAGTGGACTGAGAGCTAGCTGCACCCCTTGCAGTGGACTGAGAGCTAGCTGCACTCCTTGCAGTGGACCAGCAGGTTCTTTGTTAAAGGTCTGAGCAGAGCACCTGCATGGCTGCCACAGTAATAGTAATAACAGTTATCATTGAGTATCTCCTACTCTCCAAGCACCAGAGGTTCTCTATACATGTTTTATTTGTAACCTTTGCACGGTAGTCCCTAGGGGTAGAATAATCCTTATTGTTCAGATGAAGAAATTAAAAGATTATATAGCTAATAAATTAGAGAGCTGTCATATTCAGTGTACCAGGTAAATATGCTCATAACATTTTTGTTCTTATTGTTTTTTAAACATTTATATACGTATATGTATATTATTTTTTATTAATTTAAAAGAGAAAGGGAGAGGGAGAGGGAGATAGAAACATGAATGATGAGAGAGAATCATTGATTGGCTGCCTCCTGTACGCCCCCCCTACTGGGGATCAAGCCTGAAACCTGGGCATGTGCCCTGACCAGAAATCGAACCATGACCTCCTGGTTCATGGGTCAACGTTCAATCACTGAACAACACCAGCTGGGCTTGTTCTTATTATTTTGATAAAAAAAATTTCTAATGAACTATTCCAGATTATATCTTGAACAAACAACTATTTTCAGAGTGTTATTTTTTTCCCCCCTGTTAACCCTCTCTCAAGGATATTTTTCCATTGATTTTTAGAGAGAGTAGAAGGGAGGGGGGCAGGGGATAAGTGAGAGAGAAGCATCGATGTGAGAGAGACACATCGATTGGTTGCCTCCTGCTCCCATCCTGACTGGGCCTGGGGATTAAACCTGCAACCCAGGTATATGCCCTTTACTGGAATCAAATCCAAAACCTTCCAATGCATGGGCCAACACTCTAACCACTGAGCCATGCTGGCAGTTTCAGAGATTTTTAATCCTGAAAGAAAGCAAAGAGGAAATAAAGGAAAAATAAATCTAATAAACTTTCCTATGCTGTTCAAGTTTTAACTCTGAGTTTGTGTTCCAGACTTGGCAGCATATAATAGACACCTATTCAGACATTTATCTGAGGGATATGGTTGTTTCATGGAATCTAAGAATTGAAACGCAGTTGATGGCTAGAAAGGAAGCTTCCTATCTTCTCTCTTTTTGACTCTATCACTGTTTCTTTGTCTTTGCTCTCCCTGGTTTTGTCTCTCAGTCTCAAGCTCTGTCTCTCTTTCCTCCCAGTCTCTGTTTTGATCTCTCTGTATGTGTTCTTTTCTGTCTCTGACTCTTTCTTTTACTATCAGTCTCAGTTTTTCTGCTTAGTCTCTGTTCTCTGTCTTATCTGCTGTTCTTCTCCCTCCCTCTCTCCTCTTAATCTTCTTTTATTTTTCTTTCTCTCTTTTATCTCCCCATCCTCTCTATCTCTTCTTCTCTAATCCCCATCTCTTAATTCTCCCCTTCTTCCTTCCCTCCTCCTCCTCCTCCTCCTCCTCTTTTTTCTCTCTTTTTTTCTTTCCTTCCTCCCCTCTCTCTCTCTATCCTTCTCTCTAACAGTCCTTCCCTCTCTTTCTTAAACTCTTTAGCCTCTAATCCTGTTTCTTTCTCTTCTCTGTCTCTCACTCTTAATTTGTCTCTTTGCCTCTGCATCTTCAAGAAATAGAAAAAGAAAAAAAAGAAATAGAAAATTAGTCTGTATCCTACTTTGTACTTTCTTTAACTTTGATGTTCCATAAGTGAAAGTATCTATATGCATTCAAATGTGTGTATTTTAAATCAAGTATCCTTGCTACATGTTTTAACAGCTTCAGAAATAATTTATAATCCCTTTCCATAAATTCCAGTATATAATAGGAATTAAACAAATGCTATAAGTAAAATATCTTTCTTAGGAGTTAACAAAGATAATCAAAGCACCATTTCATAATTGAAAACTTTAATTAGCTTTTCTTCCTAAATTAGTAGTGATTTCAACCAAAGTATTCTCAAATAGTTGTTGCACCACATAAAGTTTTTTTGGGACTTGTTTGACCTAGCTCAGGCCAGAAAATTCTTTAGTTACCTGTCTAATGGTTTAAAAATATAATTAGCAGATTAAATTTTTATTAGTATAATATATTATGATTTAGTCTACTAATTTTAAATTGCGTTTTTACAGTATTAAAGTAGTTTATTTCTTCCTGCTATTCAATCTCCTATTTCACAAAACATTGATAGAACACAAACCCCACTATTCTTGGTAAGAAAAGCAGAGGCCTGTTAACAAGTACTCCGACTTCGCAAACAGCTGGTTTAGAGGTAAGTATTAGTATTTGCACATGTAGAATCTATTTTCTTGCTCCCCTTTATTCTGTTTCTGTCACCCCAGGGGGATATTGCACACAGACAATAGTATTTTTATTTTGCCGTTGCACAAGCATACTTTCCTTGGAAGTATTCTATATATTGCTATACGTAAAGTAAAGAAGATTAGAATACTGTACCACCAACCTGTATTGATCTCTCTCTCTGTCTCTGACTCTGTTTCTTTGACTGTCTATTTCAGTCTTTTGGCTCACAGAAAGGGTAGATGGATTTCAATTAATAGGCCCCTTATGAATATTAATTGGATGAAGAATAAGAAAAAAATTACACGATACTGAAGCTAATAAAATACCTATTTAAATAATAACTTGAAAGCTAAAGAGTATTATAATCTTCTTTATAAATTGATTTCTCCCCAGTTGAGCATGCATCGTTTGGAGAACTATTTCCAAACTGTCAGCAGTTATATTAACTCAGATAAGATTGTTCATATGTCAAGTTCTATGTCACAAAGCTTCTAATGAAATAGTATGTTTCAATTTTCCTTTAATTATTTAAAAATAACTGGTTTTGCAACATTTAACTTGTACAAAAGAGTAATATATTCTTTTGTAGATTGATCTGTCCTCAGTACAAAAATCATCTTTGGACGAACTATTTCCAAATGTCAGCAGCTGTGTTAATTCAGATGAAATTGTTCCTGTGTCAAGTTCCCAGGAAAATTCTTCAAATGAGGTAGTATTTCAATTTCCCCTTCAAATACCAAAAGAAATACTTACTGTTATATTAGATACTTTGTTTATGAGACTTTAAAAAATCTGTAACTCAGTTAAGGTTAATATCAAGTACATGTGGAGTAAGTTTTCAGTTACAATTCCAAAGAAAGGATATTAGGCTGCCACAGCCAAAACATTTTGCGTCCTCAGGACCAAGGGGTATTAAACAACCAGAAGAAACAATATTAATCTACTTTGATCCAAAACTCAGCTTTTGTCTTTACATATAAATTGTGGTCACCAACTTCATTATGTTATTTGAAAGTACTATGCTTTGTTAATAAATACATTAAACTCATTTTTCTAAGAGCCATGGGGGTGCGGGTAGAGTAGAGAGAGGGGATGAATAGAAAAAGAGAGAGGTGGAGAGAGAAAGAGTCAGAGAGAAGAGGAAGAGATACAGAGAGAAAGACAGTAGGACGGGACGGAGGCAGAGAGAAAAAGAAATAAAGAGGGAAAACTTTAGGGTTGTGTAGTGGTTCAGTGTAGCCAGACCTCTCAGTCTCACCCTGGGGTGAGAGTGGGGGATCCAGGTGATGAGGAGAAAACTAGAGATGAGTTTGTAAAGATAAACCAGGGCCAAGAGAGTAATGGATCTTGTAATATATATTAAAATTTTTGGATTTTTTTTTCCTGAGGGGAGCCAATAAAGGATTATGAAAAGGAAATGATATCGAATGTTCTTGTATAAAGTTTATTCTGGATCCAGAGGCAGAGAACAGATTGTAAAAGGCTGAGACTAGAGGCAATTAGAGGGATAATAACAAAGAACAGAGCAGATATAAATAAAATAGAGATGCCCTGGGTGCTCTGTCGGAACGGGTGACATGCTGGGGGGATGCACTCTATGAAGGCTCTGCAGAATGCGCTGAGCAGGGCCAGCAGTCACTGCTGGAGGGGAGGCTGGGGTCATCTGAGCCAGAGCCCCCTCCTTGGCAGGGCATCTGGCACCATCTCCGTGAGGCCGCAGTGCAGGGCAGGGAGATGATGCATAGCCACCAGCTGCAGCACCAGGATTAGTAAGGCTTGCGGGACAGTGATTCGTCAGAGAGTGGCATGCTGTCCAGCTTGGGTGATCTGCTCTTCTACACTGTTGCTGAGGGACAGGAATGAATCCCTGTCCACAAGTTCACTACTGCACTGAAGGCTACTGGACTGCAGACATCAGATCCCTGGCTCTGGGATTGCATGAGCCAGATGTGCCCCATGGTTCTAGAGTCCAACAGTGGTGGCCTCTTGGACCGAGATCTCTTCCAAAAGTGTGTGAGCAGCAACATTGTGCTCCTGACCCAGGCATTCTGAAAGAAGTTTGTCATTCCTGATTTTGAGGAGTTCACCTGCCATGTGGATCGCATCTTTGAGGATGCCAGAGAGTTCACTGGAGACAAAGTGGCAGCCTACATCCCTCAGCTGGCTAAGTCCATCCAGACCTGTGGGACGTCTCCCTGTGTACTATGGATGGTCAGCGGCAGTGATTCGTCAGAGGGTGGCATCCGTTGGCCACACAAAGATCCCCTTCTGCCTCCAGTCCTGTGTCAAGCCCCTCACCTAAGCCATCTAGGCACTGACTATGTGCACAAGTTTGGGAGCAAGGAGCCCAGTGGCCTGCGCTACAACAAGCTCTCCCTCAATGAGGGAAGAATCTCCCATAACCCCATGGTCAATACTGGAGCCATTGTCATAAGCTCCCTGATCAATATGGACTGTAACAAAGCAGAGAAGTTTGATTTTGTGTTGCAAGATCTGAACAAAATGGCTAGAAATGAATACGTGGGTTTCAGCAATGCCACATTCCAGTCAGAGAAGGAAATGGGATCAGAATTATGCCATCAGCTATTATCTAAAGGAAAAGAAGTGCTTTCCTAAGGGGGTAGACATGATAGCTGCCCTCGATCTCTACTTCCAGCTGTGCTCCGTGGAGGCAACCTATGAAACAGGCAGTGTCATGGCAGCCACCCTGACCAATGGTTGGATCTGGCCCATCACAGGTGAGAGCATGCTGAGCGCTGAAGCAGTGTGCAACACCCTCAGCCTCCTGCACTCCTGCGGCATGTATGACTTCTCAGGCCAGTTTTCCTTCCGCGTGGGCCTGCCAGCCAAGTCAGCTGTGTCAAGAGCCATCCTCCTGATGGTACGCAATGTCATGGGAATGATGTGTCTCTCACCTCCACTGGACAAGCTGGAGAACTGCCATAGGGGCATCAGTTTCTGCCAGAAGTTGATGTCTCTCTTCAATTTCCACAACTATGACAACCTGAGGCACTGTGCTTGGAAGTTAGACCCATGGTGTGTAAAGGGGAGAAGTTAGGAACAAGACTGTGGTAAACCTGTTATTTGCTGCCTATAATGGGGCTGTCTCAGCTTTTTGAAGGTTTGCCTGTCAGCCATGGACATGGAACAGAAAGGCTATGACTCCCGCACAGCCCTGCATGTTGCTGCAGCTGAAGGACACATTGAAGTTGTTAAATTTCTGATTGATGCTTGAAAAATGAATCCTTTTGTCAAGGACAGGTGGGGCAACATTCCCCTGGACGATGCTGTGCAGTTCAATCACCTGGAGGTAGTAAACTGCTTCAAGAGTACCAGGACTCCTACACACCATCTGAGAACCAGGCTGAAGTAGCAGCTGAAGCTCTGTCTAAAGAGAACTTAGAGAGCATGGTGTGAGCATGGAGCACGCACGGTCCCTGCTCAAGAAAAAAGCACAATCTAGCCACACATTTAAGCCATAACCACCAAACACATGCTATGGAGGGCTGCACTGCTTCAGTACAGACCAAGACAAGCCAGCACTTTCTGTGAAAGTCAAAATACCCCATTTATTTTGGCAGGGTAAAGACAGAGAGACACACACTTTGGTGAAGGGGCTTTAGCCACCATGCACGTGTATGTATCCACAGAGCTAGGCACTGGTTTTTGTTGTCTGGAGAGCTCTGCCTCCCTTGGCCAGGAAACAGAAATTTTATAGACAGAGTATTCCTCTGTCTATAAAATAAACTTTAATTAAGTTTATAAACTTTAATAAAAAGTAAATAAACTTTAATTACACAAATTAATAAATAAATAAATGAAATAGAGTAAAAAGGAAAAGGAAAATATCAATGAAACTAAGAGCTACTTTTTGGAAGGATAAACAATATATACAAACCTTGAGCAAGACTTAATAATAAATAGAGGACTCAAATAAATAAATTTGGAAATGAAAAAGGAGACATTACAACTGATACCACAGAAACACAAAGGATTATAAGAGACTATGAACAATTATACATCCAAAACTGGACAACCTAGAAGGAATGGATAAATTCTTAGAAACATATAGCCTACCAAGACTGAATCATGAGGAAATAGAAAATCTGAACAGAACAATAATGAGTAAGGAGATTTAATCAATAATCAAATCTCCCAACAAACAAAAAATAGCTTCACTGGTGAATCCTAACAAACATTTAAAATAGAAAGAATACTCATCCTTCTCAAACTCTACTAAAAGCTAAAAGAGAACACTCCCCAAATCATTTTACAATGGCAGTGTTACCGTGACGACAAAACCAGACGTGGACCCCACAAGAAAAGAAAATTACAGATAAATAACCCTTTTGAATATAGATGCAAAAATTCTAAACAAAGCCCTAACCGGTTTGGCTCAGTGGGTAGAGCATCTGCTTGCGGACTAAAGGGTCCCAGGTTCGATTCCTGTCAAGGGCATGTACCGTGGTTGTGGGCACATCCCCAGTAGGAGGTGTGCAGGAGGCAGCTGATCAATGTTTCTCTCTCATAGATGTTTCTAACTCCCTATCCTTCTCCCTTCCTCTCTGTAAAAAAATCAATAAAATATATTTTTAAAAAAATTCTAAACAAAATGGTAGGAAACCAATTTCAATAATATATTAAAAGGTTCATACACCATGATCAAGTTGGATTTATTCCAGGGATGCAAGGATGGTTCAACATTCACAAATCACAAGATGTGGTATATCACATTAACAAAATCAAGGATAAAAATCATGTGATAATCTCAATAAATGCAGAAAAAGCAGCCCTAGCTGGTTTGGCTCAGTGAATAGAACGTCGGCCTGCAGACCAAAGGGTCCCAAGTTCAATTCTTGTCAAGGGCACGTACTTGGTTGCAGGCTCCTCTCTGTCCCAGGCCCTGGTTGGGGCTCATGCAGAAGGCAAACTATTTGATGTGTTTCTCTCACATCAATATTTCTCTCTGTCTTTCCTTCTCTCTGCCACTCCCTCTAAAAATCAATGGAAAAATATCCTCAGGTGAGGATTAAAAAAAAAAATTAGGAGGACAGTTTAAGGGAGCTTTGGGACAACTTGAAAGGTAACAACATATGTATCATAGGAGTACCAGAAGTAGAAGAAAGTGAGCAAGGCAAAGGGAACTTGCTTGAAAAAGTAATGACAGCCGAAACCGGTTTGGCTCAGTGGATAGAGCATCGGCCTGCGGACTGAAAGGTCCCAGGTTCGATTCCGGTCAAGGGCATGTACCTTGGTTGCGGGCATATCCCCAGTAGGAGATGTGCAGGAGGCAGCTGATCGATGTTTCTCTCTCATCGATGTTTCTAACTCTCTATCTCTCTCCCTTCCTCTCTGTAAAAAAAAAAAAAAAAAGTAATGACAGAAAACTTCCCTAACCCAGTGAAGGAAAAAGTCACACACATGTTCAGGAAGCACAGAGAGTCCCAGACAAGATGAACCCAAAGAGACCCACACCAAGACACATCATAATTAAAATGCCAATAATTGCCCTGGCTGATGTGGTTCAGTAATTAGAGTATTGGCCGGCACACTAAAGGGTTGTGGGTTTGGTTCCTGGTGAAGGGCACATACCTCGGTTTCAGGTTTGCTCCCTGCCCCCTATTGGGGCACATGTGGGAGGTAACCAGTGGATGTGTCTCTCTCTCTCACATTGATGTTTCTCTCTTTCTTTCCCTCTCTCTCTTTCTCTCTCTGTCTCTCTCTCTCTCTCCCTCCCTCCCTTCTACTCTGTCTGAAAAAGCAATGGAAAAAATATTCTCAGATGAGAATTAAATAAATAAATAAATAAATAAATAAATGGCATCCAGATTGGAAAGGAGGATGTAAAACTGTCATTATTCACAGGTGACTTGATATTATATATAGAAAAGCCTAAAGAATCCACAAAAAAACCTACTAGATTTAATAAGTGAATTTGGCCCTAGACAGTTTGGCTCAGTGGATAGAGCATCGGCCTGTGAACTGAAGGGTCCCAGATTCAATTCTGATCAAGAGCATGTACCTTGGTTGTGGGCTTCTCCCCCACCCAGGCCAATAACCCGATGTGTTTCTCTCACATCGACATTTCACTCTGTTTTTCCCCCTCTCTTCCACTCTCTCTAAAAATCAATGGAAAAATATCCTCGGGTGAGGGTTAATAACAAATAAATAAAAGTAAATGAATTTGGTAAAGCAGCAGATATAAAATTAACACCCAGAAATTGGTGTATTTTTTATGCACCAATAATGAACTCTCAGAAAGAGAAACCACGAAAAACAATCCCATTTACCACTGCAACAACAACAATAAAAAGATACCTAGAAATAAACTTAACCAAGAAGGTAAAAGACCTATATTCAGAAAACTATAGGTCACTGAAAAAAGAAATAGAGGAAGATACAAACAAGTGGAAGCACATACCATGTTCATGAGTTGGAAGAAATAATGTCATTAAAATATTCATACTACCCAAAGCAATCTATAAACTCAACACTGTCTCTATAAAATACTAATAGCATATCTCACAGATCTAGAAAAAATACTCCAAAAATTTATATGGAACAACAACAACAAAAAACCCCAAATAGCCTCAGCAATCTTGGGAAAGAAGAATAAAGTTGCAGAGATCACAATACCAGATATCAAATTATACTACAAAGCCATTGTAACCAAAATAGCTGGGTGGCACAAGAACATGCATATAAATTAATGGAACCAAACAGAGAATCCAGAAATCAATCCAAGCCATTACACTCAATTAATATTTGACAAAGGAGGGAAAATAGCAACTAGACCATGACTTTACACTATACACAAGAATAAACTCAAAATGGATAAAAGACTTAAATGTAAGTTGTGAAACCATAAAAATCCAAGAAGAAAACATAGGCAGTAAAATCTCAGACATCTCTCAGAGCAATATTCTTGCCAATATGTCCCCAAGGGGAAGGGAAAGAATGGGACAAATGGGACCACATTAGACTCAAAAGCTTCTGCACAGCAAAAACAAAACAAAACAAAAAAACCCCACAAAAAAAACAAAACCATCAACAAAATGAAAAGGGAACCCACTCTATGGGAGAACATATTTGCCAATGATTCATCAGATAAGGAGTTAATCTCCAAAATATATAAAGAACTTATATAACTCAACACCAGGAAGACAAATCTGTATATATAAAAGCCTAAGCGACTGAATGACCGGTCAACCGGTCGCTGTGATGCGCACTGACCACTATGGGCCAGACACTTAATGCAGGAGCTGCCCCCTGGTGGTCAGTGCGCTCCCACAGCCAACCTCCCACAGCCAGCCAACCTCCTGCAGCTAGCCAACCTCCCATGGTCCCTCCGCCCCCGCCACCCGTCGGCCAACCTCCTGTGGTCCCTCCCCCCAGCCAGCCAACCTCCCACGGCCCCTCCCCCAGACTGGCTCCCATTGGCCCCAATCGCCTGCCAGGCTGAGGGACCCTACCTGTGCACAAGTTCGTGCACTGGGCCTCTAGTAATCCTATAAAAAAGGGGGGCAAAGGACCTGAATAGACACTTATCCAAAAAGGACTTGCAGATGGCCAATAGACATATGAAAAAATGCTCAAGGTCACTAATCAGAGATGCCAATTAAAACTACAATAAGGTTTTACCTCACAATGGTCAGAATGGCAACTATCAATAAATTAAAAACAACAAGTGCTGGAGATAATATGGAGAAATGGGAGCCCTAGTGCACTGTTGGTGGGAATGCAGACTGGTGCAGTGACTGTGCAAAGCAATATGAAGTTTCCTCAAAAAAAAAAATTTAAAAAATGAGTTGGGTATTAATCTGGGACCACTTTAGCCCCCTTTAAAGATTCTGGCTTAGTGGTCTCTGTCCTTGTACTTTTAAGGAATCTCAGGTTCAGCATTTCTTTCTTCCTGCTGGCCCATTTATAGTGTCCTTTTTACAGTAGAAGAAATTTCTCTATAGGCTTTATTTTAAATGAGAGGAGCCCTTGATAACTATATGTCTCTATTTTTGTGTTCTAAGAAACAGATATATCATGCCGGAAGCCGGTCCATCCTTGCTGCTTGACACAGTTGCTGCAGGGAAGAAACATCTGCACAGCATATGTTTCAAGGGACCTGGCATATATGGCATACTGTTCTTAATATGTTTGCTCCCCTTCTTAGCGCTATGTGTTTTAACCAAGGTCCCCTCTCCAAGAAAGGTTGTTTCCCCAGGTGGGGATTTTTCCCTGGAGTTAGGGATTAACAGGACTAAGGAAGGGAATAAAACCCCTTAACTAAGTGCCAGGCGGGTAATTAATCACTTTAACTACGAACAATCACGCTTAAGCTACATAATCTTTACTTAGGATAATCTCCTTCAGTTACTTCTTTGTAGCTTAACAGAACAATAGAGTAGTTACCTTGGAATGGAAATAACCTTTGGAATAGAATGGATAGGATTAAAATCAACTGGTATAAATACAGATGTAACAGGAGAATAAAGATAGAACCTGGCTAGAGAACCTCGCTAGGCTGATCAACTGAACACTGCCTCCGTGTTATTCCTTCTTCGCCGACTCCGTCCACACCTATGGGAACCCCTGGACCTGTTGGGCTGGACCCCAACAATTGGCGCCTTCTGAAAGATAAGGTATTTCTTTATTCTAGGGATTGTCTACTTGATAGGAAATTGTCGAAATTACATGATTTGGCAAATCAAGGAAACCTAGTATTTGACTCAGAATTAAATATAAACTGTGTTTTAATTCAGTAAATCATGTAAACACTCTCTCTCACTTTGAAGTGCTTGAATCTCAACTCTATCATGATTTTCTCTTAGTTGTTAAATAAGTTATCCAACCTCTTGAAATCTAAGTTTCCTCATTTTAAAAATGGGGATAATATAATGTGCCTTCCCTGGTTCTTGTGAATATTAAATAAGCAAATGTTTTAAAACCAATCAGTGTCCAGAGTGGATAAGCACTTCATAAGTGCTTTTATTAATATTTATGAAATATGTTTATTAAGATTATTTGCCTTTGAAATAAAATAACATAAATATAGTATCTGGAAGAATTATGCAACGTCTGTTATTCTTTTTCAGGTTCCTTTAAATACATCAGAAATATGTTGTATTATTAGAGCATCACCAGGCACTAGACAAGTGAAAAGTAAAGGTGCTATTGTAAAGAAGAAGAAATATTCTCTTCCTAAAGATATTCCTCAAGGTACTGCAGAAACTACTTTTAAAAAGCTATAAAACACATTTTCATTGTAAATTCCTTATGTACATGGGAAGTTCAGTTATAAATTGCATTCTGAGACTTCTTGCATAAGTGGAAATAGTAAAATTTTAATAGTAAGTTTGGTCAGGTTTCAGAACCTCATTAAAATAATTTTTTTGAAAGCTAAATACTTCATCTTTTGAAAAATTAGCTAATGCCATTGAATTAAAATGTAGTTAAGATGATTCCTCTTATAACTATTTAAAATTTAGTGTTGTTGGGTCTTATTTTTAGTAGCATTATTTTTAAAGATATTGAGATAGTGGTTGAGCACGTTTTCTGTGACAGGCATTGAGCTAAGCACCTTATTATATCTCGTTTATTTCTCACTATGACTTTAAGATAGACAGGATGTGTGCTATTATCCTCACTTTATATATTAAGAATCTGAGGCTTAAAGTAGTATGCAATTTGTCCAAGATCATATTCCTACCAAGTGGTAGAAAGGAGTTCAATCTTTCCATCTAAACTCCAAGGTTAGATTTTTCTGTACTTCCCTCACTGCATATCAGTCCCCATTGATCCTTGTCCCAATTTCTTCCACAGAGCCTGTCCTGAGCACTCCCTAAATCCACAGAGATATTTTTCTTTTCTAAGTTCCTTGAATACTTAATTCAGTGCTACTCATTTGACACTTAATAATTTACTACTCCCTGACATAATTTATATGCTAACTTTTTATGTTCTTTAGGTTATGAAGTTTTCAAGGACAGAGACCACATAATAGACTTCTATTTCTATCTCTGATAATAGCATAGTGGTAAGGAATAGTAGATGTCATATCAGTCAGGGTTCTACCAAAGAAACAGAACTAATAGGATGTAAATACACACTTCAAGGATTTGACTTAGTATCAATTATAAGGTATGGTAAAAACTGTAGGGCAGGATGGAAACTTGGGCAGGAGCTGATGTTGATGCAGTCCTCAGGAGGAATTTCTTCTTCCTTAGAGAAACCTCAGTTTTGCTCTTAAGGCTTTTCAACTGTTTGGATGAGGCCCATACACATTATCAAGGATAATCTCCTTTATTTAAAGTCAGTTATTACAGATGTTAATCACATATACAAAATACCTTTGCAGCAACACCAGCTCCTAAATTAGATTAGTATTTAATATAATTGGGTAGATAGCCTAGCCAAGTTGAAACTACAACTAACCATCTCAGTCCACTCTGTGTCAACTACACATTCATACACATGTCCTTAAATCATATTTAATATCCAAATAAAAACAGTCACAAAGTCATACTTCTATGTCCTAACATAATGTGACTGTCCTACATACAACCAAAAATGTGCTAACTCTTTCCCCAGAACAGGATTCAAAGTCCTTGGGTGATGTTCTTCTCCTTGGTATTCTGTAACTCAAGTACTGTATTATGAAGCTAACTATTATTAATACATCTTATATAGGATGATAGAGTATAAGAGAGGGAAGGAAACAAAGATATTTGCTTAGTCATGTGGTCGTAACTGGTATTTATAACTACCTTTCTCCACTACCCATTCCATATTCCCTCTGCCCTCAATAAGTACCTTAGCTGGTCATGGTTCTTTAACTGGTGGGCGGTGACATAAAATCTTATTTTTGAAGGATCTAGTCATGCTTGGATGGGTTGTAGTTTTCCATTGACCTTAATCACAAGGCATGGTAATACTAAGGGAAGTCCTAAGGGATCTTCTGTATTGCAGACGTACTCTTCCATTGTGGAGTAGTAGTCCAATTTTCCCATGGTATTCAGGATCAGTCACCCCAACCAGTACAGGAACTTTCTTCTTTACTTGTTGACCCAGAGGCATGAGGAGCCTAAAGTGGCCAGTGGCAGTCTTTACTCCCAGTTCAATGGAATTATTGTTGTATCTTCTGGTGAAAGCTTTCCTCCTTTGGAATTAAGGCCTCTAGACCAATAAAGCATAAAGTCATGGGAACAAGAAGCAAAACTTTTACTAGTTAGTCACCAGGGGTAATATTGAATGGTCCCACTTCCAATTCCATCCCCTAAATTTTTGGACCTTTGAATTCTGGTTATGGGATAAATAGCACTGTATATTGGATGCTGATCCAGAGCAATACCTTCTGCCTTCTGGAGAACCTTGCCCCAGTCCTGCAAGGTATTGCTGCCTCACTAGTGCTGTAACTGTCTTCAAAAGACAATCCCATTCTATTAAGCCAGCTGCTTCAGGATGGTGGGGAACATGGTAAGACCAGTGAATTCCGTGAACATGGGCCTATTGCTGCACTTCTTTTGCTCTGAAATGAGTCCCTTGATCAGAAGCAATGCTATGTGGGATGCCATGATGGCAGATAAGGCATTCTGTAAGACCTTGGATGAAGGTTTTGTCAGAAGTTTTGCATGCAGGGAAGGCAAATTACCATCCAGAGTAAGTATCTATCCCAGTAAGAATAATATGTTGCCCCTTCCGTGATGGAAGTGGTCCAGTGTAATCAACCTGCCACCAGGTAGCTGGTTGATCACTTAAAGGAAAGGTGCCTTTTGGGGGATAGGGTATTGGTTTCTGCTGCTGACAGATATAGGATACTCAGCAGTGGGTATAGTCAGGCTGACTTTGGTGAGCAGAAGGTCATGTTGCTGAGCCCATGCATAACTTCTATTGTGGTCATTGGGCAATCACTGGAGCAAAAGGCTAACTGGTATCCACAGAACAAGTCATTGGCTTGTTTATTAAAATTTTTCTCTGCTGAATTCATCCTCTGTTGAGCATTCACATAAGACACATATATTCATGTTTTTTTGCCCATTCAGAGAAGTCGATCCACATGACTTCCATAAATTTCATTGTCATCAATTTTCTAGTCATGTCCCTTCCAAGTCCTGTCCATCCAGCCAAACTATTGGCCATAGTCCATGAATATAATTCTAACAAAGTGAAAAATGAGGTGCACTGTTCTAAGTTCTGTCCCACTGGGAGGATATCTCTTTGCCTGTTTCCTTCAGTGTTGCCCCAAGAAGGAGCTATAGGTACTATAGCTATCTATTTTCAGGTGGTACTTGAATATCATGTAGAACCAAATGTAAACAAAGCCTGTCTTTTCTTTTCCTCAGTCAACTGATTGTAGAGAACTCCCCATAATGCCGTAAGTGCAGACTGAGAAAGAGGTTATGTAACAGGAGTGTGGATATTTGGGCCATTTCCTCATATAACTTATTTATGCCTTTAGGGCCTGCTCAGCCCAATCTCATATATACCATTTGCATTTGATAATGGAGTGTTGCTCTTCACAGCCAACTTTATGGCATGGTACACCAGACAACACTCAATTCATGATGGGCAACTCAGCTCCTGTTATAGCTTGGTGGCCCATAGTTAAGTATTCAGCATCTACTAATGCCCAATAACAGCCAAATACTTTTTCTCAAAAAGAGAGAGTAGTTATCCACAGAGAATGGCAGTGCTTTGCTCCAAAATCCTAAGAACCTGTGCTGTGATTCAACAGGCTCCAAACAGCATCTCTATACACCACTTAACTTCAAGTACAGTTAATTGTATTGGCTGCATCATATGGTACACGTGGCAGAGCATCTTGCACAGTAGCCTGGACCTGTTGCAGAGCCTTCTCTTGTTCTGAGATCCTCTCAAAACCAGCAGCTTTTCAGGTTACTTGGTAAATGGGCCAGAGAACTACACTGAAATGAGGAATATGTGGACTCCAGAATCTAAAAAGGACCCCTAGGCATTGTGCCTCTTTTTTGGTTGCATAAAGGGCCAGATGCAACAACTTATCTTTCACCTTTGGAGGCATATCTCTCATTTCACTGGACTCCAGGAAATTTCACTGAGGTGGACCCAGCAATTCCATTTCCCTGGAACCTGGAGACCTAGTAATTCCACTTCCGGGAGTATATCCAACTATAATATGTACATATGTTCATCAAAAGATCTATACTAGAGTGTTCATAGCAGCACTGTTAATAATAGCCTTAAACTAGAAACTATCTAGCTGCCCACCAACAGTATAATGGATAAGTAAACTGCAGTACGTTCATTCACTGAAGCGCTATATAGCACTGGGAATCAACAATATACAATTGCAATGTACATGCAACAATATTGATGAATGTTACATAAAGAGCCAGGTACAATAAAGTATATTTAATATATTTAGTACAAAACTCGGCAAAGGTAAACTATCATGGGAATCACCATAGTAGATGCCCTTTTTTGGACAGGGATTGCAACTGGAAGGGTTTAAAGAGGGAATTCTAGGGTGCTGGTAGTGTTTTGTTTCATTAGCTGGATGCTAGCTATGTTGGTGTGTTATTTATGAAAACTCATAAAGTTGTACAGTACACATATGTGTACATTTCAGTGTGAATGCTATACTTCAATAAAAAGTTAAAAATAAAAATAGAGAAACTTCTCTTAATTTGATCTTTTTGGCCTGTCATATTGGTTTCTGACATCAGGTAATGTCACAATTCTGGATTTTGCAACAAATCAAAACAAAATGTGTCTGGGAAGATTTTGAGTGTTCAGACCAAAATTTTTAGTTTAATTCTCAGAGACCCATTGATGCATGTTGAACCAATTGTGCCACCTTCTGGCTTCTTCCTAGGCTCTCACCTCATTTAGCAGCCTCCTCGTTTAAGTAATTTCCTTTCAACCCCTGGCCACTTGTCTCTGCCTTTCCTTCAGTAAAAATAGCAAAGCCCCAAGCTAACTAGTGATCATGTTATTTTAAACATGCAGCAGCCTATTTTTAGTCCTGGCATTTAATGTTTTAGCTATTTTGGCAGTAATCTAATCAGCACTACAGGATGAAGCTCACTTTTGATGGACAAGGACCCCTATTCTGTATGGTGTTTGTTCATTGGCTGGCACTGTGCAGATTAAAGGAAAAATGTGGTGAAAGCGAACCACCAGAGGAGTCCAAAAGAGATGTGATAGAGGAGGTTGTATGGGTAAGTTGAGATCCAAGAATGGTGACAACCTGGATAGAGGAGGCCTTAGAAAACATCTAGTCCAAGGTTTCTCTGACCTGTAAATTATACTCTCTCGAACAAGCATGTCAAACTCAAAGGCTAACACGGGCCAAATAAACAAGGTTTAAGTTTATGTGTGCCGCAAAAAAAACAAAAGCTTCAATTTTCATAGAAATGTAGGTTTGTTTCGATAGAGACATGCTGAATACAAAGGGCTGAAATAAATGATTAATTGTTAACATAAAATAATACAACATTTTAATATAAATTAATAATTTTTCTTGAACTTTAACTTACCAGACACTGAATAACTGCACAAATTAATAAGTGCAACACAAATAAACCTATTTTTCTTGTTCTCCGAAAGCGAAATATTTCTTGTTGCGCACAACAAACAAGTCAGTACAAGACTAATGACTAGCCTTAGCTGGTTTGACTCAGTCGGCCTGCAGACTAAAAGGTCCCAGGTTCGATTCCAGTCAAGGGCACATGCCCGGGTTATGCTCTGGATCCCCAGTAGGGGGCATGCAAGAGGCAGCCAATCAATGATTCTCTCTCATCATTGATGTTTCCATTTCTCTCTCCCTCTCCCTTCCTCTCTGAAATCAATAAAAAAATTTTTTTAATTTTTTTAAAGACTAATGACACCTAGCTGGTTTGGCTCAGTGGATAGAGCACCAGCCGGCGGCCTGAAGGTTCGATTCCGGTAAAGGGCACATGCCTGGGGTTTTGGGCTCGATTCCCAGTAGGGGGCAAGCAGGAGGTAGCCGATCAATGATTCTCTCTCATCATTGATGTTTCTAT